TTGGTTATCAAGCTTTTGACACTTTGCTAGGTGACTGGTGGTACTCGGATATTGCCATATCCTAAAAGTGGTATAGTGGGTGAAAAGATTGAAAAGCCCTGGTGTAGATGATTCAAGATTGCTTTAGAAGTACCTTTTCAGATTGTTAAAGCAGTCCTGCCTTTTTTCTGCGTGCTTGTGTGGCTGTTTTGAAAGTGACTTCTGGATGTCTCTATATCAGACATGTCAAACTCGCGATGTCATGTGACATCGCACGACGTATTGGGAATGTTTTGCCATTGCTGGCAGTGCAGTGGGCGCGGCTTCCGCATGACGTGTCCCGTCTGCGGGCTGGCAGTTTGACACCCTGTTTTATATGGACAGGCAGGTATACCATTCACTTTTGCGTTTTTATCTTTTTAATCTGAATTATTAAGGATACTTAATGGCACCTATTTAAACCACTTAAGATATGCAGATGATATTGTTCTCTTCTCACAAGATTCAGAAGAGTTACAAAGACACAAGAGCTGCACAAAGCAGGAGACCCATTTGGCTTAAAAATAAACCTTGAAAAGAGCAGGTTATGTTTAATAAAATCACCAAAGAAATATATATATATATTTATAATCTGGAGAAGAACTAGATGTAGTGGACCACTACATATACCTTGGTCAATGGATCACAATGGAAGGTGATACAAAAAAGGAAATTGAACGGTATGTGTTCAGTGTGGTTGGCAGGCATTTGGCAAGTTAAGCACAATTTTCAAGAACAACTTTCTCCTATGCCTGAAGAGAAAAGTTTTTGATCAGGGTGTGTGCTACCTGTTGTAACATTTGCCAGCGAAACATGGACACTGACATCACAATCAGTACGAAAGCTATGAGTGGTGCGAAGAGCCATGGAAAGATGCACGCTCGGCATCACGAGACAAGATAGAAAGACCTGCACATGGTTTAGAGAACAAACGAAAGCATACAATATCATCAAGAGAGTAAAGGAATTGAAATGGAAATGGGCTGATCACACAGCCAGAAGAACTGATGACAGCTGGACCAAGGCAGTTATAGAATTTGATAAAAAGCATCCACGAAAGAGACCTAAAACAAGATGGAGGGATGACATCAGCAAGTATTGCGGGCCCAATTAGCAAAAGAAAACTCAGGACCATATTGGTTGGAAACATGCAGAAGAGGCCTTCATCCTGCACTGGATAGACCAGGGGTAGGCAACCTTGGCTCTTTTATGACTCGTGGACATGCTGGCTCAGGAATTCTGGGAGTTGAAGTCCACGAGTCATAAAAGAGTCAAGGTTGCCTACCCCGGGATAGACAATAGCTAGAATGATGATGATGAAGATGGTTATGGATACTTATTATATGGCATTCTACAGGGCATTCTGTTTATATAACACAGGATGCATTTCTCATTGAGTTCATCTCATGACAACACCACGATTTATTGCCACTATTCTATAACCTCATGCTTTGTTTCACAGGAAGAAACGGTTCTGCTTCACTACATTTTGCCAAGGTTGGGGATGACCCAAATTTGTTTAGATTTAGATCAGGGGTAGTCAACCTTGGCTCTTTTATAACTCGTGGACTTCAACTCCCAAGTTGTAAAACTCAACAAGTTGTAAAAGAGCCAAGGTTGACTACCCCTGATTTAGATGCTGGATGAAAACGTTTTATAGGCAATCACTGCTTTTAGGAAATTGTTTTGCAATATTTTGTTTTAAATAACTTCATTTGAGGTTATTAATTATTGTATAATTATTGGTCATCCTTTTAGTTGTAGCTTAATAATTTCATTGTAATTTGGATGCTCTTTGGAGAATCTTGGATAAGATTGAAAGGTGGATACAAATAATATTAAAATTATTTTTGATGAGCAAACTTGAAAAAAATGCCTTACTTATTCTTTGGCATATCTTTAAGATGGAACTGGACAATGTTTAGGGAAACTTTCTCATGCTATGGCACTCTTCCTAGACACCCCTAGTAGCTACTGTGAAGGGTAAATCTTTCCCCAAAAGCAAATATTAACAATACACCAGGAACCAAGGGATTTCTCTTACTTGAAGAAAGAAATTCTTTCTTCAGCAGACATGCACTTTTGAATTATGTCTTTAGAATTTGCTAGAAAAGATTATTTTTAACTTTTAAGCTCTTATGACTTAATTTTTTTCCTTGATACAGATTTGCTGGGGTGTTGAAAACTTGTGTCAGTGTATTATACTATTAACATTTGAAAGAGGTTTTTAGTGATGTTCTATTGCATGGATTTTTTCAGGACCATGTTTGTTTTTAGCAATATTTTTCTTTAAATCCAGTTATTATTCATTTTTAATCTCTCCAACGCCTCCATTGTTTAGATCTTATGTCTTAAAATCCATTCTTCCCATTTTTATGCAGTCATTTAATGTTTCTGTTAATGCTGTCTTTCACGTCAGAAATTCCATCTTCTGTCTTATTTAATGACATAATCCTATTTTTTTAAAGAAAGCTTACTATTGAGATGTTTTGGCTGTGATAAGCCTTCTTTTCCCCAACTTTATTTTAAACAGAACACTTCAGAAATATACTTAATCTTCTTAGCATATGTGAATGGTGATTCTATCAAGAACTCCACAGTCCTGGGCTCACTCAAGCTGTGAAACATCCTTTTATCTAAGTACATTAAAGGAGTTCTCTTATCAGTTGAAGAAGAAGGAAACTTACATAGATCATTGGTTCTCAATAGAAACAAAAGAAACTTAGCAGTATTGACAGAATGCTCTATTTTGCTGAAACATCTTCAAAATGTTGATAGGAACAACTGATGAAAGAAATCAGTTTTTAAGAACACAAAGGTTGCATGAAGTTGTCACCCCTTTAATCTTCAAGGGAATGTAGAATTACGTCTTGAGACTGGCTTGCAACTTCTTGTGGGTGTAAATGAACAAATAAATGAGTCCCTGACTAGGCAGATGATTCTTTGCCCCATCTCACCCATAGTTGAAAGTACAAAGAAATAAACATGCCTTAAGAGTTCTTGAAATGTAGGAGTTAAGATACAAATGTAATCCATAAATTTAAAAAATTGCTTTAAGGAAAAATAGCATTTGCTTTTTAAGAATTATTTTCTTGCATATTTTAAACATTAACAAATCCATTGTATTCTTAACGTACTATGAACTTTTGTAACTCTAACCATTAAATTCTTGTATCATGATCAAAGCAGTGTTTTATTTGACCATTCTCTATATTGTTTTTATTAGTGTTAGTAATGTTGAGAAAAGAATTGTCTTTGGAAATTTTGAATTTTATCTTTCACGTTTGAATTTTGCACTGAATTATCCAACAGATAGATTTAAAGCTGGTTATAAATGTAGTTAATTTATTTCAAGAGATTTAGGTTCTACCTGGCACAAAAATGACACTGGGAGGCTCACAATACAAAAGCAACAATAAAAAAATACAACACAACTAAACAGTGCACAAAAAGCGAATTATATCCACCTTTTTCCAAAGTCTGGGGGAACAGACTTTGGGGGAAGTCTGGGGGAACAGTCTGGCTTTCTGGAACATCCTTGGTGTTGAAATTACATGAATCTATGGGGGAATCTCATTTCACAGAATAGGCTCCACACCAGAGAAGATAGGGGGTGTTGGTTAATCAAAGGGACCCAGAGTATGCCATCTTGTCAGCTCTGGCTGAATGGGTAGAAACTATGAGAGAGAGGTGATTCCTCAAATAATGTAATTCTATGCCATGTAGGGCTTCATAGGTAATAACCGTATTTGAAAGCACACCTGCAACTCATTCAGCTTGTGAAACACGATGCTACATGGACATATTGCTATCATCTATTCCATTATGTTCTGGACCATTTGAAGTTACTGAATACTCTTCAAGGGCAGCCCAAGGAGAATGCATGACCATAGTCAAGCAGAAAGATTAGGGCAAGTGTGAGTAGATGAAGGAAGGGGTGCAATTGTCACAGAAGATGGAGCTATGCAAAGGCTTCTTTTGCCATAGATGTCAGGTAGTCTTTGAATAGGAGCTGGGAGTCCAAGAAGACTTCCTACTGCTCACCAGCCTTGAGTGGGAAGAGCAACCCAAAAGACTCTCTGCTGCCCCTCCTAAGGCTAAAGGTGGAAAATCCACAGATCTGAGGCGAGGGGTTGGGCTGATACCAAAGCCAATTGGTCTTGGAGGCATTTTTGTAGGTATATGGATTGTCATGAATTTTTATGCTTTAATAATCCTTTTGCCGTCTAATCCGCCATATAAATAACGCATAATGTTTTTAAGAAGAGACTGGACAGCCATTTGTCTGAAATGGTGTAGGGTTCCTGCCTGAGCAGGGGGTTGGACTCGATGACCTCCAAGGTCCCTTCCATCATCATCATCATCATCATTATCATCATCATCATCATCATCATCATTATTATTATTACCTTCAAATGATTCTGGATGCAGCCATCTTCACTTTGTTTTCGGTTGCCACAGCAATGGGAGGAGGGAGATGCATTTTTCTAGTATAGTCATAACAATAACTTTCCTGTGGGAACCAAGGTCAAGCTACCTCAGTTTTGGCGGGCTGGAGCTTCCCTTAGAAAGCCTGCCAAAGTAGTTAATTGGGGATTGTGATTTATGACATATTGCAGGGGTGGGAAGTTCAACTTGTCATGTAACCTTGGAGGGGGGACTTTCAGTCTTGGGTTCATCTTTGTTCCTGCCAATACTGTGTAGTCATTAAATGTGTTCTTTGAGGAAAGCAATTGCCTCAGAGTTCTTATTTCTACTGGTCTCATCTATCGGAACCATGACACAGAACATCTTCCAAAAGTCCTCCTTTTGTCAAGTATTATGTAAGCATGGTATAAAATATCATAATAGTATGAATAGTAAGGATTTTTACCAAAGCATGTATTAAAAGAGGAAATCCTTTGAATCCCGCCTAATTGTGAACGTTGTAACTTCAAAAAGCAGAATATTTTATTTCAAATATTCTCTCTTTTTGTCTGCAGGCCACAGAAACTCTATTCCGCATGGGAGTATCAAGAGGACACATTACCCCTTTAAGACACGGAGAGGTAAAACTTTTTTCACATGCGTGGTATTGTTTTAAAAGTGAATTTGATGAGGGCTGATAGAAATACCTGAGAAATGAAAATAGAACTATCACCGCTTTCTCATGATCACATGTCTGCAATTCATTAGCAATTCATTAGAAATCAAGTGTATTGCAATAGTGCAGTGTTTCTCAACCTTGACCATTTTAAGGCATGTGGACTTCAACTCCCAGAATTCCACAGCCAGCAATGCTGGCTGTGGAATTCTGGGAGTTGAAGTCCACATGCCTTAAAATGGTCAAGGTTGAAAAACACTGCAATAGTGCAAACCCAGAACTGAAAATTGTGCGCCCAAATCCCTACTTTTTCCTCCCTTAACTGTCTCTCATTGCCCACCCTAGGGTAACCAATCAGGTTCAGGCAAGATGTTTTCATAACAGTCAGTCCAAGTTCAATTTGGTATGCGGCCCTCTCCTTCTTCCAACTTTTGGGTGACCTCAAGGAGATACAGAACTTACTTTTTGGTTCCCCAAACATTCCCGCCTTCATTTCCCCTCCCCACAGTTCATGGCAGTCTGTCACTGCATAGCAGCATAAGATGGCAGCTGACATATAGATTTTTTTAAAAAGACAAAACGGCACCATCTTAAGAACTTAAGGATAGGACTGCTTTCTGAGCCCAGGATTTTTTTTTTTTCTGGTTGCTCAGAAGCAGGAGATATAGATATATTTCTCTCCTGCCATTGTTCCTGCAGCAAACATTGGGAGGCATATTATCTCCCCTCAAGATAACATGGACATTTCATGAGTCCCTAGTTCTGCGTGGATTTAGTCATTTCCTTTTACATGTAATCCTTGATTTAAAATTGTTTGTTTAGTGCAGTGGTTCTTAACCTGGGCGATATCGCCCTCCCCCAGGGGGCGATTTCATTTTTCAGGGGGGCGAAGGAACAAAAAGGGGGCGATACGGGGGCGATGGAGCGAGAAGTTTTGGGGACACTTTTGAGACTTTTTCGTACAGTGAATCGCTGTATATCTGTCGTACAAAAACATCAGATCGCTGGCTATTAGTGGATTGAATTGTGTTTTCAAATGTTGCTCCAGCTAGCTTCAGTACAGAACGCCGTACATATGTGAATACACATCCCTTATCTTCATGCGCGTTGCGCAGCAGCCTCTACCCTTTTTATATTTTTTTTTGCATCTTAAATTTCACTTGTAATTCAATCATTAAATATTACTGTTTTTCTTTTCGGGCATTTCACTTTCTTGCAATTGAATTTTGTTTTCAGCGGTCATTACATTTAAGTGTCTTGAATAAATAAGATAATAATGAAATACATGTATCACGAAATTTGGGAATAAAGTGACGGGTGGCACCAAAATTTTTCACACAGTTGAGATATGGGAAAAAGACTGGAAATAAATTATTTGCATCGACATGTCCGGATGACAATTTTAAATAAAACAAAACAAGTGTTTGCATAAATTGAAGAATTATTTCCTATGTTGTGATTGAGAGGTTATGTTGGGGGAGGGAGGCGATGACAACTTCCTCATTGGCTCAGGCGGGCGATTCGTTCAAAAAGGTTAAGAACCACTGGTTTAGTGACCAAATGACGTGGCCTTATATACAGTCATCACACCTACGAGAGCCACAGCTTCCCCATGGTCACGTGATCGGAATTCAGGGACTTGGAAACAGGCCTGTATTTATGATGGTTGCAGCATCCTGGGATCATGCGATCACCATTTGTGACTTTCCCAGCCACCTTCTGACGAGCAAAGTCAAAGGGGGAAGCTGGATTCACTTAACGACCATCTGATTCATCTACAACTGCAGCGGTTCGCGTAGCGGCTGTGGCAGAAAAATCAGGTGCCACTCACTCAACAGCCGCCTTGCTTAGAAATGGAAATTCTGGTCCCAATTGTGATCGTAAGTCCAAGACTGTCTGTAAAGGTGGGGTCAGGTTAGTGGCTACAGCCTCATCCTGTGGTGATGGATTTCGCAGATTAATTACGCGTGGTGTTGAAGAAGTCACATCGACAAGAAAACGAGTATTCATCAAACTAGAGGGCCAGCTCCGTCTCTAAAGACTCTTGTCTTTGTGGACCGGTGGTGAAGTGAATGGGTTATTTTGAAAGAAGTTGACTGGCTGGAATACTGAAGAGGGCCATTATTCTCCAGCATTTTGTTATGGATCTGACTTGTACAGCAGCTGATGTTTATGAAAAAAAGCCCTGTTGCCTCCAGATGGCTTTAGAATGCTTGTGATTTTCATGTGGGATGCAAAGCAAAATGTTTAGTTTGGACACCCAGAGAACATGTTAGCATTCATACAGTTTGAATTGCTAGAGCAGAGGCAGTTACAGTAAGACTTCACTTGAGATGGGTTGTATGTATGTTTGGTTCCCAAATCACTTAGACCAGCTGGATGACCTTGGGCCAGGTACTTTCTCTCAGCCCTAGGAAGGAGGGTGGCCAGCCACTTCTGAAAAACCTGCCAGGAAAACTGCAGAGATCTGTCCAGAGTGTCTTTGAGAATCAGACCCAATTGAACAGAGGAAATATATCTCTTGTCTGTCATTTATCTCTATATCCGCACATACCTGTGGATGCAGTCTTGTATTAACATTGTCAGTGGGAAATGATTAAATCCACTTAAAATGATCCTTTCTCCTGATAAGTTAAGTGGCCGTTTGAGTGGTAGTAAACAAAGAACCGTACGAATAATCTTGAATTAATACTTGATCTCTCACTTTGCACTAGAGTGAGCTGATTTGAAAAATAGCACTCAAACCAAACAAGTCCGTAAGGGCTCTTCAGACTGGGCATGTTTCCAGAATCAAATGGATGTGGAGTTTATAACACTGAATGTTTTCTTTCCCTTGGTTCCTTCTCTCATCTTTTCTGTATGCTGGGGATAATTCAGCTTCTTCGTCTCCCCGGTTGTATTTCTTTTATCAAACTTTTCATGGGAGAAGTCATCTTTTACAGCTAACGTGGGGCTGTTTGCTGTTTTTGCATGGATTACAGCATTATTGACAAGGTTTTGGCACGGGGTGTGGAACTGGGGCTGCCAAGTGTCATTTCATCCAAGCAAGGCAGATAATTCTTGGAATGGTGATCCTGTTCAACAACATCTACTGCATACTGAAAAATTACTTCAGGACATGTTATAGCCATGGAGTTGACTGATCTCCAAGAAGTTTAATCGTACCAGGGGAGATAATGAAATTTAAGAATATAATTGACTTGATGACTCAGCACATTTATCTCCTCCTTACTAAAGTATTTTCACCAGGAGCCAGTTTGGTCAACTTCCATGGCTGGCTCAGGAATTCTGGGAGTTGAAGTCCACGAATCATAAAAGAGCCAGGGTTGCCTAGCCCTGATCTACTGGTTTAGGCACCAGGTTAGAAACCGGGAGACTGTGAGTTCTAGTTCTTCCTTTGTCATTAAAGCTGGCTCAGTGATTTTGGGCTAGTCGTTCTTTCTTAGCTCAACCCAGCTCAAAGGATTGTTGTTGTAGGGAAAATAGAAGGAGGAATGAGTATTAGTTATTTTCCACCGCTTTGAGTTATTTATAAAAAAAATAATAAAAGCCGTATTAAAAAAAATCTTTTTTAAAAAGGCTACTTTCTGGAAAATATTTGTAGATTCAGAGGTCACTTGTTTTTCTCTCTGCCTCTTAGAGATCCCAGTGGAATCTGGCTGTTTTGTGAAAGTTTTGTCAGTCTTCAAGAAAACTTAAGAGCATAGCCTCATAAAAGGTAGAGGAGGGAACTAGATAGTAAGCTATACTGGACTTAAGTCTTACTAACACAGTGTTTCTCAGCCTTGGCAACTTTACAATGTTCTCCAGCTAGCAATGCTAGCTGGAGAATTCTGGGAGTTGAAGTCCACACATCGTAAAGTTGCCAAGGTTGAGAAACACCGTTAACATGACATTTTTCTTCAGGCTTGTTCTCAAATTCCTGACTGTCTTTTTTCGTGCTCCAGTTTTCTTCTTTTTTTAAAAAAAGGTTTTGCGGTTCCTTTTTGATGGTCATCAAGGGAATGTGAAAGATAAAAGAATATAAATTGGCATGTTTTGTCATTAAGAGTTGGTTCATCACATGAGTGATCTTTTATGTGTAAAGCAAGAAACCTGCATGTAATTCTGCAGACAACACTTCAGGGATTCTGTTTTGGTGGACAAAGGCCATTGTATTTCCTGTCCCAAGTGGTAAAATTTTCAGGGGGAAAAATAAAGTGGACAGGAACCACATGGTTTACTTGTTGCTAAGCAACAGTTCCCTTATTTATTTATAAGAGCAGCTATAAGCTCCCTTGATCTCCCAAAGGCCCTGAAGTAACAAACCCTGACATACTAGGCACCTTCCTTCCTTCCTTCCTTCCTTCCTTCCTTCCTTCCTTCCTTCCTTCCTTCCTTCCTCCCTCCCTCCCTCCCTCCCTCCCTCCCTCCCTCCCTCCCTCCCTCCCTCCCTCAATTAACTGCAAGAAAGTTGATGTATTTGCTATAGACGGATAGGTGTTTCTGTTAAATAATGACAACCTCAACAGCTTTCCAGTTTATTGGCTAGAAAAGGAGCAGTGCAAAACTGGAAGGTATTAGGTATCCCTAAGAAGAGTGCAAATTGACCGTTGATGGAGGAAGTGATACTTGGTTGCTGGGGTAAGCAAAAGTTTGTTTTCCCAAACACGGAAGTTGGCTTTTAGTATCTTCCCAGGAACATTATCTTCTCAAAGGGAAGTTCTCTTGCTGTTTTCTAGAACCATCATCCAATTCTATCTGCTGTTAGCATGGTGAGTTCACAACACATCTTAAAATGCCACTGTCTTCCGCCTGTGCGGAGATGAATCTGGTTTATATCTTGGCTACAGCTGATAGCCCTGTTTCTCTTGCTGCGTATCTCTGTTGTTAATAGAAACTCTAATCGCTTTGGCACTGGTACCCAGATCAGATTGCTTGGGGCACTGGAACAACTGGGAGGTGGCCAGAGTTGATGCATTATTTCAGCAGCTATTTGTGAACGAATTTCGGCCAATTCCTAGAATGGGTATCTATGCTTTGGGGCTCTGTAACGTCCCCTACAAAGGCATCAACGCGTCTCACAGGCAGACTGATTAAAAAAAAATACCCAACCTGGTCAGACACTCTGATTCTCACATAATTCTCCTGCATTCAAACCTAACATGCAGCCTGAACTTTCTTCTTCTTCCTCTTATGTCAAAAATGCCTTCTGCAGATTTATTGGTCAGGAAGAGAAGCTAATTCAAATAACAGCAAGGGTAGCCTGCTTTAATGGTTACCTTGCAGTAACAATTAAGGTTATGTTTAATTTTCAAACTGTGCAACAGAAAATTATGCATTTCTCCTAATGAAAAAAAGGGAACACAATGGCTCAGTATTAAAGATGCTAAGTTTGTCAAGACCCAAGCGCCGTGCAACGGGGTGAGTTCCCTCAGCTCCTGCCCAGCTAGCAGTTTGAAAGCATGCAAATGCGAGTAAATAAATAGGTACCACTTTGGTAGGAAGGTAACAGTGTTCCATGTGCCTTTGGTGTATAGCCGTGCTGGCCATATGAGTGTGGAAAATGTCTTTGGACAATGTGGGCTCCCTCAGCCCAAAAACGGAGATGAGCACTGTGCCCTAGAATCAAACACGAGTGGATAGGAAAACCTTTAACTTTTACCTGATGAAAACAGAGGATCAGACTTAGAAGTACATAGGAAAACTTGGAAACATAAATAAATCTTCAGGGTAGAAGTGCTCCTCATATACTGAATTCAGATATTAATATGCATCTTCTAAGAACGTTATTCTGCCTAACAGATTCTCCCAATAAAAGGACCAAATATTTTTGAAAATCTTCCCAAGCCAGAATCTAATAACCTTATTCAAAAGGTTATTCCACACTTTTAAAACTTCTCTACCAATTAACATCATTTGGTATTGAGTGGAATTGAAGAAGACATCAAAACTTAAAAGTGTTTAACTACCGTATATTTTTTTTCAAACTCTGTTGGACATCAATATATTCTTTTTTTCTGTCTCTTCCCTTTAAAACGTGGGAGAGGAATGTGAAGGATTCATGCAGTTTAAACAGGCCTGTGGCAAGTGAGGTATATGCTGATGTATACTGAGGAAAAAAAGAATTTTTAGTCATATGAGATGATAGTGTTACCATGCTAAATGGGAACAAATCACAGTGTGCGATTTATGTTATATGATTGAAAACGAAAAGATTGCCACTATTGTGAAAGGAATATGGACTGTATTTGAGTATTTGTAGAAGAGAGTGAAGAATTAAAAACTGCGGATGATCAATTTCCAGTTTGGAGGGCAGAAAATAAGAATCAAACATTTTCTCACATGTCTGTGGGTTTGTCCTTAATTCCAGGCTTAATGCATTTTAAGACATGAATAGAGATAATAAAATTAAAAGCACTTGTAAAAATTAAGCCGTATTTTATAGAACCCACTTCGTAGAAATAAAAATACATGTTACCCAATCCCATCCTAAGAAGCTAACCAGTTAATCTTGGGCAAGTGACAATGTTAAATTCATTTAGTGCATTTTAAATTCATTTCTTAATTCAAAGGGCTAATGTAGATTTAAAAGGTCTGCATTCCATGGAGAAAAGGCTGGATGTAAATGTAAAAAAAAAAATGTCTTGGATTTTGGTACATACAAATGAAAAAAAATTAAATAACCAAACCCATTGAGTTCCTTTTTGTGTGATATATAATATTAAAAGGATAATGACGATGCATTACTTTCAAACAAGTAATTTTTTCTTTTGGGAAGGAGGCGATTCTTGATAGTGTTGAATTATTATAATGTTTCTTATTTTTAATTCTTGAGTTAGTGTAATGAACTGAATTTGAGAAAGTATACCATGCTTGAGGGGAAACTCTCTGTTTTTTGCCTGAAAACGGTGAAAGTATCTTAAAAGCTGATTCTAATTTAAACTTTTCAAGTCTCTCTCTCTCTCTTTTTCTCTCTCTCTCTCTAGCTTGAGGACACGGCAGGCCCTAGTCACAGGCATATTACAGAGCTAAATAGTGATGTGATCCTAGATATCCGATTTCTGCACCCTTCTCATTCATATCACAAAGATACCATTATTTCTGTGGGTTCAAAAGTTCTGTTCTCACGGCTAGCTCATCATCTCTAATTTCATTGCTGTTGTCTGACTCCTTGGTGATTGTGCTCCTTGGTGGTTGTGATAATTTGTGGAGAAGATAACAATTTTCATTTTATTTTTCCTTCATACTGCAATTTTTTTATATAATTATGGCATATCAACATGCTATTGCTTAAGAATTGATAAAACTTTTTTTTAAATAGAGTAATTTAAGAACATAACCGTGTGAGCTAAAGTATTTTAAAGTATTTTGTGCTTCTCTCAAAATTCATGGAAAACTAAGCACTATAAAGAATGCTTGATCAGACTATATGAAAAAAAAATACTTTTGTAGACATCAGTAATGCTGTTAAGGTTCTTGAAAGCGTTGTGCTCTTCTAATTTTAAAATTTTGTTTATTCTTATAGCTTTAAAATTGCGGAGGGGGAATTATTCAGGCTCATAGTGTGTAAGTATTACACTGCTGGGTACTATTGTAAAGTTTGGATTTTCTTTGAATAATTGATTAGCTACCTAGTTAAGTCATTGCCGCTCAGCGGCTATAATTTGCTGTTGCAGACTAACTGCAAACCTTTAATGCCTGAAAAGGTATAGGTTAGACAGAAAAAAACCCTAGGAATATTAATTTTCAAGATTAATGTCTTCTCCCATGTGAATTGAAAAGGGTTGAGGAAGCTACTCCCATAGAGAAACAGAACAGCTTTAAAACTATGTTTAAATATAGTTACCCAATCTCTGCCTTCTATGTTTCACCATGCCTGCCTCAAAATGTACAGTTGTATTATGGGCATATCACAGGGCATGGAGTACCGTGCTTGAAGTAAGGGAGTAATTGATTTCCATAAAGCATCTGTGTTGGCATTTCTTCTTGAAATAGCTTAGGCATGGTTTATATGTAATTAGTACTTATTAGATTATTTGTAGTTTTTATAAGCCAGTTGAAAGGCTTTCTCTTAGCCCTTCCTGTTACAGTACCTATGTACTTGTGAGGTTTACCAGATAGGAGTTACAACTAGATGAGCTAATTCTACTTTATTGTAAAGCTACATTGACAGAATCTTATAAGTCTGAAAAGTATAGGCCAGTGGTTCTCAATCTTTCTAATGCCGCGACCCCATAATACAGTTTCCCATGTTGTGGTGACCCCCTTATACATCACCGGGTGCCAGGGGCATGGCCAAAGAAAAGGGGAAAAAATGGCGGTCAGCCTTGTTTGGCGACCCCCGTGAAATGGTCATTCGACCCCAAATGGGGTCCCGACCCACAGGTTGAGAACCACTGGTATAGGCAGTCCTTGGCTTACAACCAAAATGGAGCCCGGAACTTTCCCCCTTTCTCTCATCTCTTTTATAGCCGAAGAAACTAGGAAGGGTCCCTTCTGAGCCTCTTGCCCCACCCATTATCCAGCTGAGGGCTATGCTGTCCCTTATCCATCCATTCCCTTGGCCAGTCTTTCCCACATCCCGTCACACCGTGTGTGCTCCTTGGGACTCTGTCTCCTTTCTGTTTACACTATATACATTGTCTCTGTGTTCTCTGATTTCTTTCTCTCTTTTTAAAGTGTATCTGACATATTTTGTTGACACTATCCAGGTATATCTTGTCTTGGATGATACAGCATGAACTTCCTTCTCCTATTGTCTTGCTGGGACCTTCAATTGGATATCTTCCCACTAGCTTAAATCTGGAGAAGACTAAACTTTTTATTAATCTACCTGATTGTCCTCCTGCTTCATCTTCCCTTGTTTTGAAGACTGCTTCTTGTCAATTTTTCTGGTGGTATAAGGTCTTGGAGAAACATTACTTAAAGCTTTTCATTGATAGCTTTGGGAGAATGGTTGATCATTTTTCATTGTTGAGGGATCTAGTTCAAGCTTTTGTGATGTTTTCATCCAAGTCAATAGTAAAAAAAACAACCCTGAGGAATAGTAGCCTGGGACCCTTTCTCTTGTTTTATAAAGAACTGTTGCGGAGCATTCTTTAAATACTTTTTTCCAAGTCAGCTATGATCTTTCTAACTGACGATCATTCTTTATATACTTAATTAGCTTGCTCATCAGAATGCCATTTGAAAACTCTTTTATACATATGACTACAAAAATGTTGTAGACTGGAAATCCTCTTGAGGAATTAATTTCAAATGCTCTCTTCTATGATTTTGACAACTTGCTGGAGCAGCCTGCATGGTTTGCATTCCACTTGTCCAATAAAGCCAAGAAATAATGAGATGTTAATTGGCAGATGTGGAATTACAAGTCTGTGTTGGTTTGAGAATGGAAACTCTTGGCTTCTTCTCCTGCGGAAAAACTGCTGAAAGTATTTCTCTGAGATTCTAATAATTCATCATCGAGTCTATGTGCTGGGAAATGCAGTGACCCCAGACACTGAAGCTGGAAGTAAATATATCTGAATGCTCTAGAGATGTTTGAAGCTTGCAACATGTTTGCTCATCTGCAAGTACTCAACAGATTTGTATGTCAACATTTGGGTCTCCCCTCCCCTCCAAAAAATAAAATAAAAAAACCCTCCTGTGTTGACTGTCAGAGCATTAAAAGAATATTAAAGGCTCTCATAATGAATCAGATATTGTTGTTATTCTTCTCAGTATTGTCTACACAGGGAAGGCAACCTAGTACCTACCATTCTCTTAAGTGGGACTAATGGCAATTTAGTCTAAAACTTTTCTAGACACAACAGTCGGCAATATTTAGTCAACAATGGATAGCCAATTTGGTGTAATGGTTAAATACACCTGGCTAGAAACTGGGAAACTGGTCCTGCTCCAACATGAAGCCAGCTGCCAGCTGACTTTGGGCAGCTCCTAGTCCAGGGGTAGGCAACCTTGGCTCTTTTATGGCTCGTGGACTTCGACTCCCAGAATTCCTGAGCCAGCATGGCTCAGCTTGGAAACCTTTCCCTTTCCCCTCAGCATGGCTGGCTCGGGAATTCTGGGAGTTGAAGTCCACGAGTCATAAAAGAGCCAAGGTTGCCTACCCCTGTCTTAGTAGAAGGTGGCAATAGCAAACCATTCCCAAAACATATCCAAGAATATTCCAGGGACTTGCTCAGGCAGTTGCCAGGAATCAGGAATGACTCAAATGCACTCTGTCCCCAAGTTAACAATGATTAGTAGAAACCTCCTCAATGTTTAAGGCCTGCAAACTTTTGATGCCAATCCCATTTGTTATTATTGAACTGTGGACTTTTTCTTGCCAATGTGCCCTTTTGATATATTCTCATACCATTAGCCACTTTTCCCCTTTGTAGAAAGTGAGGAAAATGACCTTGGCAGAGATATTCAAAAGAGGTTAAAACTTGCAGTGTTTCTCAACCTTGACAATTTTAAGGCATGTGGACTTCAACTCCCAGAATTCCACAGCCAGCAATGCTGGCTGTGGAATTCTGGGAGTTGAAGTCCACATGCCTTAAAATTTCAAGGCTGAGAAACACTGGGTTAAAGCATTTTTTTTTTAAAAAAAATCCAGAACATCCGGATAACATTAGGAAGTGAGTCAGGCAGAGTTGTGTGCAGCTCGTTCTATACTGTATAGAAGGTCACTGAATTCTGGCCTAAATATTTTTCTTACTATATCGAAATTCAGCCATTGGCGCTTCTCCCTGGAAATTATGACACCATTCCACATTGCAATGATTAGCTTATTTCTATAGAGAATAAATAAATATATGTTAAGAAAACAGCAAGAAATGTCAATTGTGGTATATTTGGTAAGATCATTAAATAGCTTTGTTCTTTAATTCATATACTTTGGGGGCAAAACTGAAATACATTTTCTCCTTTTAATTTCAAGGAATACATCTGTTATAGTAATTTACACAAACATATGGCATTAATTAGCATCCTATATAGCAGCTCCACTTATAGAACAGGTCTACCTTTCTAATCTTCACAAATGGAAGAAATGTAACTATTAGCCTCCTTATGTTCAAACTATTGTAATGGGAATTACTCTGTGCTGCTACCAGTTTTTCATTCTCCAATCCCATTCTTTTTAAATGTGCTGGACTTCTATCACCCCACCCTTTAGCCAGTAAAGCTGGGTATTTTGGCTCAAAGCATCTGGAAGGACCAAATCGGGGAAAATAATTTTTAAAAATACTGCAAAAGGAAAGTGATTATTGACTGCTCTTTCTTTGGCTCTAATTGCACATGATTGTGGTTCTTCAAGAGGGAAGAAAGTTGTACCATGCCTAGTTTCCCATCTTCTGCTCCCAGGTAAACATTACCCACACTATGTAAATCTGAGAGTTAGGAAACCTTTGAATGGAGAAACAAGATAATTTGCATATGCTTTAACATCTTAATTGCTAATTTGCCAATTTAGCTAAATTGCTAATTTACCTAGAGATTAAATATTATTAAGATTGCAGAGAATTTATCTTGATGCCTCTGTCTGACAAAGAATCACAGGATAGATGGTTTCTGCCTCTACCAGGTTAGAGGTAATTTCTTTGTTCTTCAAGCCAGTCCAGTCTGCAGTAGCCACCAGGCATCTGAGGCTGCATTAGAGTGTAATGCCGTATAAGATGAGTTAGTTCCCCAGTATTGCTCCTCCAAAACATGTCAGCTTTGCTTTTCCCAAATAAATGCAGAAATGGAGCAGAAAATAAAGAGAATAGAAGTAGGAAAAAATGGAAAGAAGGAGTTTTTTTCTTAGGAGTAGGAGAACAAGCTGTCAGTTGCAGTGCAGAGGAAGTAGGCAAAATATTGGAAATAATTTAGTGGAGAAAGAAATTTGGGAGTGACATATTCCCTTCCCTTTCCTGCTGGATGAATTATGTTCTGAGGAGTCCTTGGTGTTCTCTAAGTTTGATTGTTTTCTTGCAGACATTTCATTACCTAACTAGATAACATCATCTGTGCTGGAAGGGAGATGGGTTTATTCTCTCTGTGTTTGTCCTGTCAGTGTTGCTGAGAGTGTGGTTTGTGTCTCCTTGATTAGACTATTGTTTACTCTTTGATTGTTCATCTGAATTGGTAGTTCCTTGATTGGGTCTGCTATTAATTCTGGTACTAATCCCTGTTTATCTGGGTGTTGATTGCTGGGAAGGAGATGTTTTGGTCTTTTTGTTTTCTCTTAGCTTTTTGATTGTCTCTTTTGAGTGGTATATACATATTTTTTATGTGCCTGATGATGACTGATTAGTTACCAGGAATTCCACAATGTTTTGGGACTTGTTTGGCCTAGCTCAGAGGTCCCCAACTTTTTGGGCACCAGGGACCGGTTACGTGGAGAGAGGTTTTTCCACGGACTGGAGGGGCCGTGGTTTTGTGTGTGCTACCTACATCCCATGGATGGGGCTTTGCTTGTTTGTATGGACCGCTTGCTGGCATGCTGTAGCCCGGTATGGTCCACGGACCGGGGGTTGGGAATCCTCGGTCTAGGATGCTCAGGGTAAGCTATTGTATATAAACAGAAAACAATCCCCACTCCATTCTAGCACTGAAGATGTTACCTAGTTGGGTAATGAAATGTCCATAAGAAAACAATCAAATTCAGACAGCACCAAGGATTCTACAGTTCAGCTACAAATATTCTCTTCCAAAATATATTCTGCCCCTCAAACAGAACTCTGAATTCTGGGTGGTCACCAGATAGCAATGTAGGCTTACCTATTAACTCTGTATTTTTGGACGGTTGATAGCAGTTGCTCTGCATAACAGTGAATGGAATTGTCATATTCCTGTGGGGTTTTTTTATTTTTGTTAATTTCCTACCCTGCTTTGTGATTTCAAGTTATCAACATATGATTTTTAAAAAAGCATGATTTGGGTTTGTGGTGGTGGAGCTGCTAAAATGACATAGGATGTGACTGCATTAAAGGGCTTTTTACTACGGCAGTGGTGGCGAACCTATGGCATGCGTGCCAGAGGCGGCACTCGGAGCCCTCTCTGTGGGCACACGTGCCATTGCCCCAGCCTTGTCTCCCCCCGTGACCCCCTTCTCACCAGCAGCCCCCCCGGGAGGAGATTTGCCCCCCAGCGTGGCCCAAATGGAGCAGCACAGCCAAGGACATGGCAGCCAGGCAGCATAGACAAGACTCTGCCCTCATGCCCCATTGCAGTTAATGCTGTGGAGGAGTCAGAGGGCGTGGCTGCCATGGCGCTGCTGGGCTGCCTGGGCGATCTGCAGCGGGCCCTGGAGGCAGTGAGGGCCCTGCGGGCAGGCAGGGTGGGGGCGCAGCAAGGGGTGGAGCCAGGGCGGGGCCAGTTTTTGGGCACTCGGTCTCTACAAGGTTCACCATCACTGTACTAGGGCATCTATCACTAGACTGAGGTCAAACGATTAAGAGCTTTAAAATCTTGATCTTTTTCATATTTTGAAGTTTCTGAGTAGCATTAGTTTAACATTTGACCACATTTATTTCTTTTTTAAGAGCAATATCTTTACAGAAATTTTTCAAAACATGCAAGAAATGGGAAATTGTTAAACTAAAACTGCTCATGAATAACAACACTGAGAAACTTCTACAGTGTATTGCTGATATTGTATCTTGATTTCATAAATTTAATACATGGCTACCAAGTGCTCTTGAAGGATTTTACAGGTTTTCCATGTCTCAGATGAATACGTTCTATTTCCTTTAGGTGTTCTGCCAGCTGGCAAGCTGAGATATGATTTGGAAATTTAAGTTTGCATTCAGATTTATTCTTTAAAATGACACCTCCTTCCACTTTAATTGTTTCTCGCCTAGAAGTAAGAATACAGTCATACCTGTGTACCTTTGTATATGTTATTGAAAAAAAGGTCACATGTTCATCAGAGCTGTACCCCTGTGCTCTTTTGCCATCTACAGTTGCAAATCTCAAATCTCAATTTAGCTTAACGAAGTTCATCTTTATTTTCATTCAATCTCTTTTTTTTATCACTACCAGTTCGGCTCATAAAATTGGGTGACTGAAAATGGACTCTGGTTAATAGACTGGCTTGTCATCTTTCATAGTTGTGCGATGGAGTTAATTATTCCAAAATAGTTGAATTAATTGAAAAACTATTTGGAATCCATTTATTGTAATTCCCTAACAGTTTATTTTGACAATTCAATGTCATTTTCTGTTCTTAATATAATTGAAATATATGGTAAGTAGAACTATGGACAGATACTACAGTTAGTTTACTAGAAACATGATAAATGTCTGGATCATTAAACTATGGACAATGTGTTTTCCACTGTACACATTGACTATAGTCATATTCAGTAATAATGCAGGATTTCTCTTAATTTTTCTCTGCTATAAAATGACCGTTTCTTGCATGCCACAATATACATCATTTGAAAATTACTGTGCATGGCTTTTTTAAGTACTCTTCTCTTGTGGAACGCTTAATTATGTATACTTTTATTTACTCCTATTTATTATTTCATTGATTTTAATAATCAAATTTATATAGCTGCCCATCTCATTGAAGATGACTCCAGGCAGTGCAGAACAAATGAGTAAAAGCACAGATATAACATATAAAAACAGATAAAAATATAAAAATTACATTAAAAATAAATACTATAAAAATAGAGATACAAAACATAGGCGGAGAGAGGATAAAAATAGCCAGCTCAT